TACTTTAGATAGAACAATCAATTTCTAACCCCATTTCTCCTACTGATTTTTAAATTCATTGGAAGAGAAAAAAGTAAATAAATGCTTTCACAGATAGATTTCCATCAGGTTGTTTAAGTCAATAAGTTTTAAATCAAGTTATTGAATTTAATAGAAAGTATATAGTAATAGTCTATATCAAAGTTCAAAATTTTTAAGTTGATTGTTATTAAGTGTGGGAGTGCCTGGGTGGCTCAGTCGGTTAAGCATCTGACTTCAGGTCAGGTCATGATCTCACAATTTGTGGGTTCGAGCCCTGCATCGGGCTCTGTGCTGACAGCTCAGAGCCTGGAGCCTGCTTTGGATTCTGTGTTTCCCTCTCTCTCTGACCCTCCCCTGCTTGCTCGCTCTCTCTCTCTCTCCCTCAAAAATAAAAAAACATTAAAAAAAGGTTAAGTGTGGTGGGTTCCAGCTATACAGAAGTGTGCTGGGTTTCAGCAATTCTACTCTGAGGCATTTACATAAGTGATATGAAGACGTACCCACACAAAGATTTGTCCAAGAATGTAGCAGCTTCATTTACAATGGCTAAAACTGGAAAAAACCCAAATAGCCATCAATAGAAAGAAGCAATAAACCAAAGTGGAGTAATTCATACAATGGAATAAGGCCCAGCAGTAAAAAGAAATAAGCTATTGAACATTCAACAATATGGATGAAACCGATGGAAATTAGACTGAGCTAAAGAAGCCAGACACAAAAGAGTGCCTGCTATATGACTCTGTTTTATGAAGCTCTAGAAAATGCAGAATTGATCTATAAAAATAATTAGAACAGTAGTTGTCTTGGGGTGCCTGGGTGGTGCAGTTAGTTAAGCGTCCAACTCTTGGTTTTGGCTCAGGTCATGATCTCCTGATTCATGGATTTGAGCCCCGCTAGGGCTCTGCACTGAGGGTGTGGAATCTGCTTGGAATTCTCTCCCTCTCCCTCTCTCTCTCCCACTCTCCCCACTCATATTCTCTAAATAAATAAGCAAACAAACAAAAAAAGAACAGTAATTGTCTCTGGATAAGGGGCAGGAATTGCCTGGGAGGTGGGCAGGAGGGAACTTTCTATGGTGATGTCAAGGTTCTATATCTTCACAGGGGTGATGATGGTTACATGGGCCTATCCATATACCAAAAATACAAAATAGTACAGTTAAGGTATGTACATTTCAATGTATGTACATCCCCCCCCCAAAAAAAAAAATCCCACAGAGTGGAAATGGGTGGAGGTGTGGGTGAAACAATAACAGCAGAATTCAATCACTGTTAAAGCTAGGAGACAGGTGTGGGCTTTTTTTTAATGCTAGTCTGTTTACTTTCTATATATTTAACATTTTATAAAATAAAAAAAAGGCTAGAAATATATATCAGTGAAATGTACAATCAAAATTTTATACCATGAAAATATATCTCTCAAGAAGCTTTTTCTGTATGCAGAAGACATTTATAAAAATTCACAGAGGTGCCCTGTGTCTGTGCTTCACGTGGAGAATTTGAAATGGAGCTCATTATTTTCTCCAGCTCACCTCGTCCCCACCCCCAGCATGCCTCCCATCTAATGGACCATCAGAGTGAATATGATATGGTTTCTCAGCTACCACCAGCCCCCAAATTAATTCTCCCCTGGTCTCTCAAATATTTATTTCTAACAAATACTGGTGCAGATGGAGAAATTCGAGCTGCTGCATACACTGGAGAAAACAATGGATGTGACAGACCTCGACCTCAGTCTTTATTCTCACTACTCTCTGAAGCTGGTGTTTTAGAAGTTAATGAGAAAATGAAAATTCAGTTTTTTTACATCCTGATTATTTCAATCTCATATTCAACTTCTTTAACCTTACTTCCTAATTTCTCAGCAACACAAAGAGACATAAATTTTCAGAATAACAAAATCCAGAGAATACTAATCAAGGACAATGCTTAATTTCTCTATTATGGACTGACAAGGCTCAGTCATATACCAGACACTAACTATGCCTTATTAGATTTCCAAATTTTGCCTGTAACAAGTTCTATAGTCCCAAGAATCAGAAGCACCAGAGGCAAAGAATAAACTCAAGCTCAATCACAGCTATATAAAGGTATATAAATACCCTCCTAGGTCATAAGAGGATTATAAGTGCACTTGGGTAAAGAATCTTGAGTCCTCTTATTATGTCTTGTCAAGTATTAGTATCAAACAGTTCTCTATGGTCAGAATAAGGTAAACACTGAAATTAGCTAAAGATCTAAATTTTATAACCTCTACTTACAAATATTTCTACCTAACATTCCTTTATTTTTACATATCCCCTGCTAAATTCCAGTGAAGAATTTCACAAGGAAATTAAATAGCAAACACTCAAAAGATCCTTGATGCCAGCATTTTTGTTTATTCATTCATTCATTCATTCAACAAATTTATCTATGCCTGTGGGCAACAGATGCTCTTCCAGGTACTAGAAATGTGTATAATAATTTAATAGCAAACAAAACAAGGTTGATGCCCTCACAGAACTTATGTTCTAGTAAGAGGAGGCAAGCTTATAAGAAGGATTGAGGGTAATAAGTGCACGGAGAAGGATCAATACAACAGGGCATGCAGATTACTACTTAATATAGCTGGTTAGGAAAGGCTTCTTTGTTACAGCGATGTGCAGCAAACCTGAGGAATGTGAAGTTCCAGAATTCCGGGCAGAGAAAATGGCAAGTGCAAAGGCCCTATCCCAGAGTGGCACTTGGAAAATGAAGAAACAGGGAGCCAGTGTGGCTACAGTGGAGTGAGTTAGGGTCAGAGATGTGAGAGATAGGAGGGGGAGGGGCACCGAGAGGATCTAAGCCTTCCTGGGCCATTTTCAGGGTCTGGGCATCTAGTGTGGAAGAGATGGGAAGCCACTGGAGCACTGTGAGCAGAAACAGTCCTATTTAATGTTTTTAAAAAGATCAGGAGCTGCGAGAAGAGAACAGGCAGTAGCGGAACAAAGGTTGAAACAGGAAGACCAGTTCGATCCAGAGATCACAACGCGCTCAGAGGAATATTTTAACTCATTTGTTTTTTGGTTGTATTTCATTATACTCCATATTCCAATAACTAAAACTGTAATCAACTGGACTGCTCTCTTGTTTGCCACTGGCTTTGGGGAGTTAGTTTTTGAGGGAAAAGCAAAAGTCAAAAGAGACTACTTTTCAGGCTCTCATTTGACCTACTAGTGATTCCTTTATTTCAATGGACCTAACAATAGGTAAGTAAGACAAAAACTGCTAGTTTGCAAAATAACCTTTTTCAAAAATATTTTCACAAGTATCAGGAAACAGATATTTTAATTTGCAGCTACACACAAAAGTTCTCATATTATCGCAGTTTTTCATAACCTTCATCACAACGTATATCATAGTAGTCAAAACCCCCTTTAACTAATTAATATTCCTGAAATAAATATATAATTTCAATAAATATATCGAAATAAAAATACGTGTCAAACCACGGAGTCCATCAACACTTTCTCAGAATTCTGTTTTGTGGTTAGTTTGTGAAATGACCCTCATAATGAAGACAAGCTCTCAACTGTGCTTCTACGTCTAATTTCTGTAAGTTTAGCAAACAGCATGTTTAACAGCCTCGCCCAAACCCTGTGGGTGGCACTTTCAGTTATAAAAAGCTAGGTAGGAAAACCATCACACAATGCATACCTTTCAGGACTTCTAGCCACGCTTGAGTGTTATTAATTGGTTTAAGAGGGTATGAGAAACACAAGCTTCCCTGCACACTTCGGTGATTTCATCCTATGTTCCCAGCACTCTGATAAATTAAATCATCCTGTCTGTCATGAATCGCAGCTGGCATGCCTGAGTATTGCTCTTTGATGATGAGCAAGCAGTACAAAATAAGATGCTGATTCCACTCTTCAAAATCTCATTTTCAGCATTTCATAGGTTACCAAGCAGGATTTTAAAAACAAAAACAAATGTCAAAATACAATTCACTTTGGTTTTGTGGGAACCCAGGCCCACTTGCCAAAAATACCGATAGCTTTTTTCCTTTCTAAATAGCAGGCAGCATCTACAGCAGGGAAGAACACTGGGGTGGGGGGTGGGGAGAGGCTATGAAAATGGATAATCCAGCTTTCTGTTTACCCCTCGAGCTTTAATGGGGGGGAAACCAGCCAGGAACTGAGGGATTGTTAGAGCCACACAAACTAGAGTGCATTTCCTCACCCTCATGAATAGTGTCAAGAATCTGCCTCCTTAAGTTCCACTAACAAGTAAGGAGATTCCCCTCTCTGGAGGCAGGCTTTGCTGTAATCACATCACTACTGACTTATCGTATCGTTCCACCTCCCCTTTACCCTTTTCCTTCAACTACAAACTCCGATTCCATTTTGTTTTATTTCATCCTAGTATATTGAAGGCATTCTTGCAAACTGACCTAAACCATTCCTGGGCTAAGAAGAGACAGAAATAATAAAATAAATCAAGATTTCTTTCTCCAGATCTAAATTTAAATAAACCAGGCGGGGCGAGATGATGAAAAGCCGTGTGGGTGTCTATTGCAAGATTTTCCCGTCTCTAGGAAAGAAAAGAATAAAGAACAGAATGCTAAATGGATTTGGGAACGGAGTGTGCGTGTGTGTGTGTGTGTGTGCGCGCGCGCGTGCAGTCATTCTCAGGGCAAAGGGAAGAATTCAGGAAGAAGGAAGAGAAAAGAAAAAAAATCAATCGAGGCAGTCATTCACCCCTACCCCTCCCGACCCCTCCCCACCCTACTGCAGTGCTCTGCGCTTCCCAGAAAGCTCAGCACCCCAAAGGGCAGTTTCCCGAAACCAGAGCACAGCTCGACTCCTGGACAGACAGTCTGGGGAGATCGGGGAGGTGGGGATGGGTAGGGACAAGCGATTGGAAGTGAGCCGGCCACGGGAGAAGCGAGGAGGCCAGCGACGCCAGCTGAGATCCCCCGCGGCGATGGAAAGGCAGGGCCGGGCTACCGGGACCTACCTGGAACAGTGAGGGTGAAGGATGCCCCCGGCACCTCTGGCCTCTCCTCCTCAGCCTCCTCCCGCTGCCTTTGCTGCTGCTGCTGCTGGATGAGGCTGAGGTCGGATCGGCTGAGCTCGGCTCGAGCGGCCGCGGGGACCAGCCGCGCCTTCAGCAGCACCGCGGCCAGGCCGAGCAGCAGGGTACAAGAGACGCGCCGGCTGAGCCTCGCCATGGCCGAGAGCCAGAGGGCAGCGGCGGCATATTGCGGGGCTCCCGGCGGCGACGGACGCCAGGGCTGCGGGCTCCAGCGGCGCCCGCTCGCTCGCTCCCGCTCGCGCGGTCTGCCTCGCAAGCCCTCGCCGGGAGGAGGAGGCCTGGGAGGCGGAGGGGACGGGGGTGGAGGAGGAGGGGAAGTTAGCATCCTCGCGCACGTGATGCGCAGGGCGGGGCGAGCCGGGAGCCGGCGGCCGCGGCTCAGCTGTCACCGGCGGCGGAGCAGCTCGGAGGGCCGGGGCCGCGCGCAGCGCTGGGGCTCGGGGCCGGGCGGCGGCCTCCGAGGGGAAAGGAGCGAGAAGAGCCTTTCTGGGGGCTGGTCGGCCTTCAGATCCTCCAGCCTTACGGAAACATCGGGAAATTTTGCAGAAATGGGAATAAAATTGCCCCCACCTGGCCCCAAAGTAGAGGAAAAGGTGGTGTATTGATTACTCTCCTAAAACACTTAACGCAGCACCCACCCATCAATTAGCCAGGATCTGTGGCCATTCGGGCTTTGCCGCATCACAGCCATCATTGGTTATCCAACACTTAAACTACAGTTCTACCAATTTTAACTAAACTTCCTCTTTCTGCTCAAGTGGGAATTTCTTTATTACAAAATATTCCTGATTACATTTTGTGTGATTGTAGCCTACACTTCTCGCTTACTCAAAAAACATTTATTAAATAAATGCACACTAGGTGCTTACTATGTGTCAGCATTCACTCAGGTGCTTGAAATAAGCAAGATACAGTCTTGCTTGCATTCTAGGGTTCTCTACCTGTTAGGGCAGGGGAAAATACAAGCAAATTATAATCCAAGGTGGTGGTTACCACTGGAGACATACGTGCAGAAGGTTGCACTGAGTTTGGAAGAAATTAACTATGTGGTATATGGAAGTCGGCTATGAAACACCAGAGGACCTGGGGTTTTAAGAAGAATAAGAGTTCCATTCGTAGATGGGTACAACCAGGTAGTCTTAAAAACAACAGGGCAGAGGCGCCTGGGTGGCTCAGTCTGTTAAGTGTTGGACTTCGGGTCAGGTCTTGATCTCATGGCTTGTGAGTCCAAGACCCCATCCGGCTCTGTGCTGACAGCTTAGAACCTGGAGGCTGCTTCGGATTCTGTGTCTCCCTCACTCTCTGCCTCTCCCCTGTTCATGCTTTGTCTCTGTCTCTCAAAAATAAATAAACGTTAAAAAAAATTTTTTAATGGAGCACCATCTACGTGTGTGAAGCCCAGAGATGTGTAATAGTACCATGTGCTTGGAAATTTGAGCAATGATTGTGACAGAGTGGCAGTATTTTAGATTGAAAAGGAGAGTGAAGAACAGGTCATTAAAAAAATAATAGCAGACACCTCTATAGTAATTACTGTGTCCACGCACTGTTTAAGCACTTCATATGTGCTAACTCCTGTAATAACCCTCCAGATGTACATCAGGACATTGACATACACTGCAAGTAATTACGAAGTAGTGAAAGAAAATAATCAGGGAAGGGACTTGGCACCAGTCTACCTAGCAGGATCACTTTGCTATCAGTATGAAAGTGGGATTACTGAAGGATAGATTGAAGGAGAGGAGGCCAGTTCAGAGGTGTTTCCAAAAGCCGGTGAGGAGATGCAGAAGTCTTGTGACACTGGAAGGGAGAGGAAAGGCATGGGAGATTCAGTTTTTAGGGCTAGAATCAACAGAGATAGTTGATTGGGTGGGGAGGGGAGATATGTTCAGTATGACACCCAAATGGTCAGACTGAGGATCTTGAGTGGCTGCTTATGTCATCATCAAGATTGACTGGTAATATAGGCTACAGAATAGATGATAGGCTGTGTGTTCAGCTGTGGTCTCTTTGCATTTGGAGATCTCCTAATATAATACAAATGTTATCTGATCGTGACATCATATCATTTTCCATCATAGTTGATTCAGCTGTTTTGGTTGATTGGATGTCCCTTTCCACCTTCACCATTTTTATGTGACTTCCTCCTAATGTTTCCAACTTCCTGGAAAAAAAAACAAACTCCTTGGTAGTGGAAAATTATTCTTTGCCCAAGGGCATGAAAATAATACCTGTTTAACCACAAAGATAATAATAATAATAATAATAATAATAATAATAGGCATGTTATATATATTATCTCACTGTATCTTTAGAGCAATCCTACGAATTAGTTTTCATTATCCTGTTTATCAAATGGAAACACTGAAGATCAGAGAGGCTACTTACCGTCTTGCTCAAGGCTGTACTAATAATATGTGACTTTGTCTTTCTGCACTTTTTGAAGCTACATGAGCTGTTTAGTGATTTCTAGACAAAAATAAACTATGTGAGCTATGTAAGTTTTGGAAAACAGATGCCAAAGTGAGGTCCCTCACATTAAACACTATTGTTCCACTCCTGCTTTGCCCTGCCTGTGTGAGCAGGAGCTACTGGTGGGGGGTGGGGGGGGGGTTGGAATGCAGGGAGCCTTTATCAGCCTCATCAAGCTGTTTTTGTTGCATTTTCTTCCAAGTTACCTCTGCTCCTGGAGAGAGGAAAGGAGAAAATGGAAACGGCTCCAAAAACCTGACTGGCAGATCAGAAGGGAAGGAAGACTGCCAGGATTTCTGTCATCTGCCTTATGGTGGCCAGATCTTCTTTAGTATGTTAAAAGCTGACCTTCCAGAGGCAAAGCCACTGATTTCATGGCCCCAGTAGAGGGTGGACATCAAATCCTTCAATACTGTGGAGTGGTTAAGGAAAAGCTTTGCCTATCAAGATGGTTTTTAGAGGATTTTTAAATGTTCCAATACTCATATAGTTTATGCCTAATTTCTGCGCAATATACAAAAACCATATTATCTCATGCGATCAGGGCTAGCATTTAGCGAATCAAAAAAAGTTGGTCAAGAGACAAATCAATAGATCTTAAATATGTTTTAAACTGTTTGTTTTATCTTAAAATAAGTAAATCTACATTTATTTACTACTCTTTTGATATAGGGCCAAGATATTTTTTAAGTATTTAACCACAACCTAGGGTTTGAAGTCATAAACCACAATTATAATGAACCGCTATGATTTGCAGTTTGAGTTTAAGTGGAAGGAGCTCTTAAAGACTCCTGACAAACAAGCTGAGTGCCAATTCGTTCTATTTAATTTTTTCCCAATTTTTTACAATTTTTTCACCTACTTCATGTTAAACTTTGTTTTCATAGAAAAATACACTTTGCTCAAATTTATATTTCACCCATTCCTTAAAATACATAGCAAAAATAAGTTTCAGAAGAGACATAACTGAATTTTTGGCACACACGCAGAAAGCAAAACCAAGCAGACTTTCCGGAAGGTGAATCCTGCTAACTCCATGTGGGTTACTTGTCAGTCAGTGTGTTTTACAGAGGAATGGAAGCTGCCAACTGATGTAGGAAGTTATTTTCAAGTTCATAATCTAGGATACTGTTCATGCTTGATACAATGTAACTATTAGTGTTAGAAATTCATTTTTATTTAAAAAAAATACTCCAGAGCCATCAAAAAGCAAAGTATACTACCATACATATATTATATAATAACTTTTTACTGCCTAAGATCTGCTGGTACCTCCCAATTGCTCTTAGCATAAAGTCCATAATCCCTAATAGATTTACAAAGACATTTGCAATCTATCCTCTGACTACCTAGGCTCATCTCTGAATATTTGCTACATAAACATACTTTGCTATGCACACATGCACACACAGACAGACACACACACGCGCGCGCACACACACAGAGCGTGTACAGAGAGAGCACCAGCAAAGAGACAAAGCATTTCTTTTACTCCCTCAAATTAGACTTATTTGAGTTGCCCCTAGACGTTCACATGTTGATTTCCTCTGCCTGGAACTCTAGTCCTTCACATCTTTAACTGGTAAGCTCCCATAGAGCCCGAAAGGTTAGTTTAAATATTCCTTCCTCCAGAATACATTTCCTAACACCCTTAGCTTTGATTAGGTGCCCCTCATATGAGCTTTCACATCACCTCATATTTCCCCTTAGAATTCTATTATTTAAAACGGATTGCTCCTGGGGCGCCTGGGTGGCGCAGTCGGTTAAGCGTCCGACTTCAGCCAGGTCACGATCTCGCGGTCCGTGAGTTCGAGCCCCGCGTCGGGCTCTGGGCTGATGGCTCGGAGCCTGGAGCCTGTTTCCGATTCTGTGTCTCCCTCTCTCTCTGTCCCTCCCCCGTTCATGCTCTGTCTCTCTCTGTCCCAAATAAAATAAAATAAAATAAAATAAAATAAAATAAAATAAAATAAAACGGATTGCTCCTAAGAAGAATAGGGTTAGATTCCTGTGAGTCTCTGGTTCACAACATTTTTATCAACTGATCAATGCATAACTTGTTTTATGTGTGTCTTTGTTTAAAGACACCTTCTTTATTACATTTTGTTAGTTCATTAACATTGAGCTCACAGCCAATAATACTATTACTCATGCCTGAAAGAAGTTTTTCTAACACATGTACTTTCTCTGTAAGAAACATCACAGCCTTCTTGGGCTTAGGAACACTAGACAGCACTTCAGCACTGTAATTAAGGGCCATTTTAAACAACAGAATAAATAATGGAAAGTACAAAACTGAAAAAAAAATGGCACTGAGTAGACCACCAAAAGGACACTTATTATGAGAGCAGAAGGAAGAAGGAAGAGCATCACCTTGCTTGACTTCAGCTGGGAATGTGAATGCTGTGTAACTCAAATTTTTCACTGATCTGCACATTTCCGTGAATAACCATGAAAGTACTGATTTGGGGGTGACAAATACATTTCAGCAAACAGGCAAAGTCAGAAATATGGAATCATGAATGAGGAGGAACTACTCCTGTGTGTGTAATCTATATAATACATTTCTTTTGGTGTAAGTAAGAAAGATTGGATAAAAGAAATTATAGGAAAGTCAAATGATTCTGAAAAAAAGATGAACACTATCAAGAATTAAGAAAGAATCTG